GGAGATGGCTCTAAGGACGACTAGCGAAGCTTGGAATCCATTGACTGTCGAAGCTTGGAATTCATTCCTCCTGCTATTTCATCCCTTCTTCAATGTATCCCTCTTTGATGGTCTCCATCGCTAGGGTCTAAAGGACTGGCTGCTGGGGCTGGGGGCAGGCATGGGGGATCGGGTGAGGAGGGGTTGGGTGGGGTTGGGTGACGCAGAGGAGTGGGGTGGGTTAGGCAGGGGCTGGGTGTCACAGGGGCTGGGTGAAGCAGGGGCTGGGGTGTGGTGGTTCCTAGCGGTGGTTGCAGGTGTTTGCCGAAGGTGTTGGCCGCCGGAGGTGGTGGTTGCCAATGGTGGCCGGTAACGGTAAAATTCAGTTACCCGCTGGGAAGGTGGTGGTAATTGACGGGATGACAGTGCCCGGAGTAATTTTGTGTCAGTGTTGCCACCAGCGGAGGTGGTGGCACAGCGGCTATGTCATTGTGGCTAGAGATATTACTGCAGAAGTGTCACTGTGGTGTTAGTCACTGTGGCGGCGTCACTATGACGGCTGTGTAGTTGGCGTGAAAATTTTGACAACTCTCGGGGTTAAAAAAAACAAACACAGTGACATACATTTTTGGAATTTTATCAATTCAGGACCCGAAAGATAGATGAATTATCAATTCAGGATCCAAAAGATGAAACGTATCAGTATAGGACCCGAATGATGGAAAACTATCAATTTAGGACCTAACGTTTCATAGGTTTTGATTTATTTAATTTTTTATTAATTCCATTACTAATTTTTGATAAACTTTTCTTCACAAAAGTTTATTAGTTTAATAAAACGAAATAATATTTAAAATTTTTTAATGAAAAAATTATGACAACTTAGGTCCTAGATTAATACTCCCTCCGGTTCTTATTAAAGTTCCCACTTTTCTTTTTGGGATGTCTCTTATTTAAATTCACACTTCCATTTTAGGAAACAAAACAGTGCAAAACAGTGCCAAACAGTGCCAAACAGTGTCAAACAGTGTCCAAACAGTGTCAAATAGTGTCAAACAGTGCACTCCACAGTAAAGTCAAATTCATTTTCTTAATATGTGTGAAGTCAAACTGGGAACTTAAATAAGAACCGGAGGAAGTAGTTTTCAATAATTCAGGTCCTAAATTGATAGTTTTTTATCATTCGGGTCCTATATCGATGCATTTTATCTTTCAGGTCCCGAATCGATAATTCATCTATCTTTCGGGTCCTGAATTGATAAAATTCCTAAATTTTTTGTAGTGACATCATGTTTTCTAATTTCAAATTTATGACCTTGTTAATCACTTTTTTGTTAATTTTGAAAAGTACTCACATTTTTTGAAATTCAATCCAATTTAGTAATATTAAGGGAATAACTCCATTGAATATAAACAAATAAAGATCGACATGTATGCAATTAGTATCTTCTATATTACACATTCAAATTTCTCGTTCGGTAAATTAACCATCACGGTGATTTCAAGTTATACTCATCGTATGTTTTAAGTCATTCTTTAATCTTTATAAAGATTGCTATACAACAACAACAACATCCAAGCCTTAGTTCCAAAAGATATTGGGGTCGGCTAACATGAATCGATACATGATATCACAACCTTTTCATATTTCGATTCATGTCAGGTGATGTGACTAGGTGATACTGTTGGCCGTCACACGCCTACCACAGCACCCTCCTCCTTTATCCTTGCTATATATATATATATATATATATATATATATATATAGGGGGAAGATCCCATACAAACTAGGCTTCTAGTGCAAACTACAAACTAATAGAAGCCGTTGGATTAGAAGATTTGGAGAGCTTTGATTATGGGATGCATAATTAAATTACTGCACTCACACGCAGGGAATAAAAAACGTAAAACCACTTCTAAGCGCGCATTGAATGTAAAAGGTTACGGAAGTCATTTAACAAACCAAAATAGGAAACCACGAAAACCAATTCAGTTTTAACATTGGTAAACCCTGATTTTAAGGTTAGTGGCTTGTATCCATGGTAAACGACGACGATGAGCAACGACCAAAAAGGAAACTTGCAAGACTTCATCGATTGAAAACATTCACCATCGATTTGGAAGTCTGCAGCAAGATTTCAACTCGGCGATTGAAGGCAAGGTAGCGACGATAGAAGGCCATAGCTTCGCTACAACTGGAAGACATGTTGCGTCAAATATAAAATGAGCTTTATGAAGGTACTCGTGTTACTCCTTGATTTGTTCAATATGGATTCATGATTATTTCGAGTATTGAACTACATACTAGTGACAAATGTCTCATGAATAATGGCTGATTACAAGCTGTGATTGATATGTTGATTCAGATATAGGTGTAAAGATCTGAGATGTGATGTTGATTCAGATATATGATAAATTTGTTTGTGCATAATGTGAGATTAATAGATGTCATTATTTTAAGTTTTGCTGAAATCCAATATTCAGAATAATAAGATGCAAGTATTTTGGATACAACATGCAACACTCTGTCCAGGGTTATTTGTGTACCGATTTTGGTAACACATGTGCATAATTTTCATTTGATTAGAAGTTAGATGGAGAAGGTTCATTTTAAGTGCAACTTGGAAAGAATTTAGGTGCAACGGGTTTGAAATTGAGGAATGTTGATCAATTATATATGATTGCAATTGGAATGTGAAACTGATGTAAGATGCATTTATTGAATATGTAAGATGCAATAGTTATATTCGTAAGATGCAGTGGTTTTGCAATTGGGAAGTAATATGGCATAGTTTAAGATGTGAGATGCAGGGGTTTTGCAATTGGAAATTTGAGTATAAGTAAGATGCAGTAGTTATAGTTGAGAAAATGCAGTCGTTTTAGGTGCAAAGTGCATGTTTTTTGGTAATGGTAGTGAGACTTTGCTAAAGATGTAAGATGCAGCAGGCAAATAGGTAGCGTGTTGTTGTTAAATACATTAGACGTAGTATGGCATGTATTCGTTGTCCTATGTGGTGCAATTCATTATAGAACTTAGTGCATATAGACAAAGAAGTATAAAGTGTTTCTTGATTAATGCACACCAAGTGTTTGTTTAAATGAATAAGTGACATAGTATTAGTTATGTGTTGTATAATTAAGTGAAATAAGGCTGATAGTATGTTGATAGAATTATGGTTTGGTGTATATTATTGGCATATAGTAATGATGTTAAAATGTAAAGTGAAAATATATTTATATTGTGGTGCATCTTAAAGTACTACGAAGTGCATCTGATAACAAAAGAGTGTGAAAATTGGTTTGGGTTTGATGTTGTTCATATCTATCCCTACATTTTTTATGTGTGCTTCATAAAGGACTGATACAAAATGATGCACTCAACGAATCTGTATATGCATCTGGTTTTTGTGTGATGGAGTTAATACACAAAAATGTAAGGTGCAATTCCTTGTAGAGTTTTAGATGTAAGATGCAGGTGTTTCGGATTTTAGATGCATGATTTAAAGCATGTGAATTTGTTTATGATGCATATTGATGCATGATTGTATGATACAAGATGCATCTAAAGTACAATGAAAATGCAGGTATGTAATGCATAGTATTGGTTAAATGTTGATTGAAAGTCAAAGTATTTATGCTCACATACAACTTTATGCAAGTTTTGGTTTTGTTACGTATGTAGTAAAAGTGAACTCTTATGGTTGAAGTCACACATAATTACACTTGTATGGTTGAGCTACATATATGCATAATGTTTTCTTTTAAGTTGCAATACGATGGTCGATCAAATAGATTAAATTGTACCCTGAATAAATAGAACTTTATTATATCATTATACTTATGTACTTATTTCATTCATTTATGGTGCAGAACTTTTGGGAGCAGGGTTCTATGAAGAGTCGATGGTGCAATACTAATCATAAGAATGACTTCTTTACAAGAGGAACATTTGATGAGGACAATAACCATGAAGTTTGAACATGATAATAGATTAAATTCGTTTGAAACTCAATAAAGTGCATGTGTGCGCTCGCTAGTTGTTTGTAATGTTTTGGGCACAAGTGTTTGTGAAAAAAGGAGCAATAGAAAATGTAATTTTGATTTTATTGTTTATGACAGGGGGTTAGTAATTACGAGATTAGTAGTGATGAACATTGAAGTGTTGTATGAAGTAAATTGTTGATGAGATCAATGTTAAAAACACTACTGCAAATGTTGTATGATGCAGTAAATGAATTGTATGATGCAGTTAAATGTTGTGTAAGGTGCATACTTTTATGTTATATGACCACTTAAAATGTTATAATAATTGAGGTGTTTGAAAATAATTCACTGTAAAAGTGATTTGTGCGTGCTATATAGTTGGTTGGTATGATATTATGTTAAACTTAATTAAGGGTTATGATGAATCCAAGTATGAAGAAAACTAATATGGTGGATGTATTATAAATATAAATGGCCCAACTCAAGATGTATTTCACCAGCACAGAAACATATTATGCATATAAATGAATTTAATGATGCATTTCAATGTGAAGATGAGTGCACATTACAATGTAAATTGGTTATCAATAAAGATTTTAAAAAACAACTTATCATTGAGTCAACGTTTCTTTTTCAATAGGGGAACGAATTATGCACATAAATGCATCTAATAATGCAGTTAAGTGTGATGAGAAGTGCATAACTGCATAGTATACAATAACGAATAGGAAATTTTATAAGCACATATAATACATACACATCTCGTACAATGAACAAAAGTAAAGATGGATTGATTACATCAACATGCTTACAATGTACATATCATTACATAGGAAATTAAGATACAACAAACAAACAAGTCCAATAATATAGTGACATTATGAATTTGTTTGTTTAAGAGATAACTCAAGCTCATAAAGCTATCATGACCAGACATCTCATTACACAATCTGTAAAGCCTCTGGGGACATTTTGATTCTTCAACAGCCACCTCCTCTAAAGACTTGATTCTTCTAAGAGAACATTTATTTTTATCCCTGAAAGGTACACGAATCATATATTGTGCCTGCGAATATTGAAAGGACGACGAGTTATGCATCAACTAAGCAGACAAATGCATACAATTCAGTTCAAACATGCAAAGTAAACATACTGGTGTAAGATGCAGGTAAATGTCAAAGCTTAGAATTCAAAGAAGAAGCAGATAATCATCTCAAAGTAGATGATTGAAACAAAACTATTTGAATCAAATTTAAAAAACATGATACATTCTAGACAGAAGAAGTACATGAAAGATGACACATGAGCTTAATTAGTGATGACCTTTGACACAATTAATAACCAGTTGGAAGTGAAATAAGTTAACTAACAACACAAAAGGCATATATTCTGTATTTAATGAACTATTACATCATACTGAACTAATGCATAGTACACCTATAAATGATGCATATTGTATCGCAAATACATTCATGTTTCATATAACCCAATAATAACCTAGTTAACAACAAATTCACAATGTTTGCATTCCAATTTTAAAACACTGAAATCTATAAATAAAATTAAAAACAACAATCAAAGAGTAAAAAACTACAATTTTTAGAATGAAGTTTGGAGAGATGGATAATACTTTGAGTACATTACATAGGAGACAATGATGAATAATAAAAATTACTTCATGTTATCAAAATCAAAAATAAACACAAAGAGCTTAATACAATAAAGAGATTATGATAACGCCTATTATAGCATACCTGAATCCATGGTCTTCGATTTATAATAGATCTATTGCGATTAAATTGTATGAGGTTGAAAATAGAAATTGTGGCTTGCGATAGAGATGGAGATGGAGTGAAATTTGTAGATGGACATAGCAGAGAATTGAGTTTGATTATAAACTTACAGTTGGGAAAGAAGCAGTTTGAGTAAGGGCGTAAACTGTTGATCAATGAAATTGACGATGAAATCAAGCTTTGATGGAATGTCGGAAGTTGTTGATCGAAGAATCTGAGTGAAAGGAAATATTAGAATATCAGTAGTTATGGAAAGGAACGTGATTGTTTTTCCAAAAATGATATAACGAAAAAGACTAATGAGCCCTCAACTGTCTAAAATCACCCAGATTAAATGTACGGCAGATCAATTAGAATAGATGGCCAGGATTAGTTTGTAGGTTAGTAAATTAAGTCTAGTTTATATATATATATATATATATATATATATATATATATATATATATATATATATATGCATGTTTAAATCTAATATACACATCCAATTTGTGACTAATACTCCGTTAAAATTTGCCTGATCTTTTAAAGTAAGCCCTACTAGCTAGTCGTGTTTTTCTTATTACTAAGGGCATCCTCATTGGGAGGATTATTACAAGATTAAATCGGTGACATGGCAGTTTTTTTAGAGAATTATCAATGAGTGACATAGATTATTTAATAGGATTATTTGCTACAATAATCTGGGATCAAAATATGAATCCGGATTATTTTAAGATTATTTGAAAAGTATATGTAATAGAGATAAATGCGGGACAGAGAAAAAACAGATTATTTGAAGATGATGATTGAGAGACATAAACGAATTTTGAGATTATTTTATAATTAATTACATAACAATATTTAAATAGTAAGAATCATATAAAAAATTGATTATTAGAGATCATGAATGGAGATGCTCTAATTCTATGATAATTACAAATGAAATGTTCTAACAATAATTATACTAATCGGTTTTCATGAAAACACCGTGTCGTGCGCGTTATAATTATTACAGGGTATCATTATTACTAGAGTATTTCTGGTCTCGAGGGAATATATATGTTGATTTATTTAATTGGAAAATTCTACGGTGCACTCCTAATTTTTGAGTGCACCGGTACACATATTTTCTTATCCAATCACATTTTAGTATTGTGCTACTAAATATGATTAATGACTTGTAGTGAGGATTGAGTTATTAGCCTAAATATGATTGAATTGTTTCTTAAATTTCTAAATAGGACTATGTATATTTTTATTTTTTAAATAGGACTTTTATACCATATTTGTCCTTCCTAATATAAATAAGGTATAAATATTTTTTTAGTCTCTACAAATATAGTATCCCTGCAAAATTATTTTTTTGTTTTTCATTTCTAAAATGAATGTTAGTTTTTCTTTTAGTCTACCGCTGATGATAATAATGGAATTTAATACGTATTTTAAAATGTGAGTAATTAGTTTTTATTTTTTTAACTCTCATATTTTCCTCAAAAAATTTATAGGGATGAATTTTTTTAGTGATATACTAAAAACCAAATAACGCATAATACAAGGATGAAAAACATAAAAAAAATATTTTGCACAGACTTAAATCATATTTAAACCTATAAACAATTGCCCCCTAGTTCCCTATGTCAGTGTAGGCCACGTCGGTCGTCGGATCTTTAGTGCCGGCGGCCGACGTGGCCAGATCTGGTCAGATGCACGGTGGTGGTTCATGGCAAGATGTGCAATGTCGGTGGTCAGATTGGTGACGCCCAGATCTGACCAGATGTACGGAGGCGGCGGCCAGATGTGTAGCGCCGGCTGCCAGCGGTCAACAGCGATGTTCGGCTGCATTAAGTTTTGTCAAGCTTCAAGGGGTACTTTAGTACTCCTGTCCAACTACAAATAATAATTCATATTTAGAATACTTTTAAACTTTGCACATACTTTGACAATTTAAATATTTATTTATTCCTATTTAAATAAATCTCCTTTGACGATTTTGTTCAGTTTAACCTTTTTTTTCTAATCCGATGAAGGGTCCAAATGCAAAAATGGCAAATTATTATGTTTAGTTAATGAGGATATTAGGTGGCGTAAGATTAAGATATAATGGGATGTGTGGTCAAAAAGGATGTGTACCAAAACACAACAAATTAAGGAGTGCAGCGTAGAAGCACCCTATTTAATTACTCCGTAATTAAATACTATCTCGGTCTCATTTTATGTGTCTCTTTTGACTTTGACACAATTATTAATAATGTGATTGAAAGGATACAAGTTGTGGTTGAGATTTAAGTATAATAAAGTGATATATAGACATAAATATTTATATGTATAAATATTTGGTAGATTCTATGGTACCATTGTTGGGATTGGAAAATTCTTCTATTCAATATCAAGAACAGAATTACAATAGAAGGAGCAAACTCTCACACTCAACTATTACAAAAAACCAATCGTCACTAATACACTTCTACACTAAGTGTATTTCACTCTTCACACACTTTTCTCACTTTCTAAACTGATACTATGAACAACAATGGAGCACTCTATTTATAGGGCTGGTTTGGAGACATGAGGAAGTTGCATCCAAGCTTCCTAGTTATCTCCATATCTTCTCCCACACCTATTTGTTGGAGAGCTCTTTCCAAGAAGGTGCCTCCATGTTAAGGTGTCTCTTGGCAACTTCCAAGAAAGAAGGTGGAAGATACCTACAAATCTCCCCCTCCACCTTTTTCTTTATTTCTCTCGTTCCTGCGGTGCTCGCTGGCTCCCCCTCGCTGGCAACAAGTATCCATTCGGATGTGGAGTATTTTCTTTGTGGAACTATGCCTCGCATAGAACGTCGAACATGAATACCTTCAGATTCGTCTTCAGATGAAGGCTCCCCCTGCTGAGGAATATCATCACTGTGAGTATCATCATCACCTGCTGAACCATCACTCTCGTGTTCAGTAGAATCATGCATCTCCTCGTCGTTGAGAGGAATGTTTGATGATACAGGCACTTCGTCTTCTGGAGTATGTTGTTGGCGGATTATTGGAGCACACCCATGAAACTCGTTTTCATGAAATACAACATCTCTGCTTCGAATAACTTTCTTCACTTCGGGATCCCACAACCGGTATCTGAATTCTTCATCTCCATAGCCGATGAAGATACATGGGTTTGACTTGAGATCAAGCTTCTGTCTCAACTCCTTGGACACATGTGCAAATGCCTTGCACCCGAACACTTTCAAGTGAGAGTAAGAAACATCTCTTCCTGACCATTTCTTCTCTGGCACTTCAAAGTTTAAGGGAACAGAAGGTGACCTGTTCATAAGATAACAAGCTGTCAGCACAGCTTCACCCCAAAATGGCTTAGGTAGCTTAGCCAGACTCAACATGCAACGAACTTTCTCCATAATGGTCCGATTCATTCTTTCGGCTACACCATTGTGTTGCGGAGTTCGTGGAACCGTCTTCTCATGTCTGAATCCATATGCGGCACAATATGCTGAGAATTCTCGGGAAGTGTACTCTGATCTCCTCCATTGTCTGAACGCAGACACTTCAGCTTCTTCCCTGTTTCTCTTTCTACCATGGCATGAAATGATTTGAATCGATCAAACACTTGATCCTTACGATTTAAACAGTAGGCCCATACATTTCGTGATGCATCATCAATGAATGTCACGAAGTATCTGCTTCCTCCAAGTGACTCCTCTTCAATGGGTCCACATACATCAGAGTGGACAAGACTGAGTAACTCTGTATGGTTCTTCTTGGTAGAACTGAAGGAAACCTTGTGTTGTTTCCCAAATAGACAGTGCTCGCATGAATCTAGGGCAACACCTTTGCCCATGGAAATGACTTCCTTCTTTGCAAGAGTTTGGTGATATCTCTTCTTCAACAGCATTGAGACTCGGATGACACAACTTTGCATGAGTTTTATAAAGAGTGCCACAAATATGGCCTCTTGCAACAACCAAGGAACCTTTAGATAGCTTTCATGTACCTTCTTTGAATCGGTTAAGATATCCTTGTTGATCCAGAGCTGTACCGGAGATAAGATTCAATCTAAGATCCGGAACGTGTCGAACATCTTTCAACACAAGTGCGCATCCGACATTGGTTATTATGTGCACATCACCAATGCCAACAATCTTCGAGAAACTGGTGTTTCCCATCTTCACAGCTCCAAAGTCTCCGGACTTATAAGTTGTGAATAAGTTCTGGTGTGGAGTGGCGTGAAATGATGCGGCTGTATCAATCACCCACTCAACATCATGAGTGCCTACGTGTAAACATTCTTGTTCACCATGTGTAACAAGACACACGTCTGATGACAAACTAATCATGGTCTCACCATCTTCTTGGCTAGTATTTTGACTCGTCTGTGGCTTCTCTCGTAGAAACTTTCTACAATCTCTTTTCCTATGTCCATAATTACTACAGTAATTACAATATCCTTCGAACCAAGTATTGTTTTCAAAGGACATACCTCTCTCTTGTGATCTTCCGCGAACTTGAGAATTTCCTCTACTTTGACCTTGACCTCTACCTCGACCTCGACTTCTTCCTCCATTTCTGCCTCCCCCTCGTCTGTTAGTTTCTGATATGAGGACATATGATTGTTCCGTCCCGGCTTCCTTCCTTCGGGCTTCTTCATTCATCAGGGCATCTGTGACCATCTGCATAGTCACCTTCCCATTTGGAGCAGAATTACTAAGAGTGACAACAAGAGTCTCCCAGCTGTCAGGTAGAGAGCTCAAGAGTAGTATCGCCTGCTCTTCATCTTTGAGAACCCATCCGGTGGTGCTCAACTGATTCACAAGATCCTGGAATTGACTGGTGTGTTCTGACACCGAAATACCCCCACGTAATTTGTGGTTTACTAATCTCCTCATTAGTAACGTCTTATTTCGGGCGGTTTTTGCTTGATACATGCTACCAAGCTTCTCCCATAGTGTGTAAGCACTTTGTTCTTGAGCAACATGGTGGAACACACTATGATCTATCCATTGTCGAATTTGTGCGACAGTTTTTCGATTCATTTTTGTCCATTCTTCATCCGTCTTTTTATCCGGTTTCACACCATTATTATCAAGAGGATCCGCTAAATCCCTCAAATTTAGCAAATCCTCCATCCGAGGCTTCCACATATTGTAGTTTGTGGATGTGAGCGCAATCATGGTGTCCGACGATGATTTATCCATAATAAAACGCTCTATATATCTCGTACCTTATTTTCGAAGCCGAATTTAGACAAACGGAGCTCACCGTTGGATCCGGAATGGCCGAAAATGGTAAGAACCGGTCTGACCTCGTCCAAAACTGGTCTGGAAACGGGTGAACCGGCCTCCAAAAGCACGAACCGGTTCGGTCCGGTTCAGGCAGCAGCCCAGCCTGCAGCCCAGCAGGCGAATGACGTGGCTCTGCTCCCTCGCTGATGTGGCGCTGACGTGTAGCCACGTGGCGTCTGACGTGGCTCACAGCGGACGGCTCGGGTGGATGACGTGGCGGATGACTCGGCACCACGTGTCGCTGACGTGGTCCAACGTGGCGATGATGTGGCAGCTGACGTGGATCGTCTTCTTCCTCTGGACTGCGTGATGACGCAGTGATGATGCAGGCAGTTTTCCGGCGGCGCGTACGGCCTCTTCCGGTGGCCAAAAAATCCCCAAAAATACCAGATTTCTCGTCTCGCCGAGACGAATCTAACGGTATGATCAGATCCTGATTCCGAGCAACTTGAAAAATCACGATTTTCTAACCTGTAGAAATTTATCTGAAAATGAGAAAACAGTGTATGGAAACTCAACCTCGCTCTGATACCACTTGTTGGGATTGGAAAATTCTTCTATTCAATATCAAGAACAGAATTACAATACGAGGAGCAAACTCTCACACTCAACTATTACAAAAAACCAATCCTCACCAATACACTTCTACACTAAGTGTATTTCACTCTTCACACACTTTAAGGTCATAAGGTACCATACATTTGTCCACATAGACCAATCATGATGTTGTAATTGAATTGTTTAAGTTTAAATTAAATATGATATACTCCGTACATGTTTGGACCAATCAAGTGAATGGTAGGTACGGTACCATATTTTTTAAATGGATACCGTGGTTCTCACCTTTAATTAAGTTAATAGTAGTAAAAAATATCATGAAATTTTAAACTTTGACCGCTAATATAAATTGTTTAAGCCACTAGGGGTGGGATTTAGATGTGTACTCCCTCCGTCCCGTTGGAATATTCCCACTTTACTTTTTTGGTTGTCCTGTTGGAAAGTTCCCATTTCCGAAAGTTATCCTACATCAAAACAGGGTCAAACAGTGCAAAACAGTGTCAAACAGTGCAAAACAGTGTCGAAACAGTGCCAAACAGTGTCGAAACAGTGTCAAAACAGTAAAATTTACCCCCTGCTAAGTTTATTTCCTTAATATGTGTGTAGGTCAAACCGGGAACATTTCAACGGGACGGAGAGAGTATTTTTTTGACAGAAGGATTTAGATGTGTTAGATAACTCAAATTGTTAAAAAATAAGGTAGTATGTACTCCCTTCGTCACGAAAAGGTCGGCCAAATTTCCTTTTTTGGATGTCCCAAAAAGAGTAGTCATTTCCATTTAAAGTAAAGAATATGTGACTAAAATTAATTTTCTTTCTTCAGCACAAATTTAAACCACACGATGTTTACTGTGAAAATTAATTTTGGCCAACTTTTTATCTGATTAGCTTTGAACTTGTAGGTAGGTGCGGGGCGCTCGCAGAAATGGGAAATTGGGTTGCTAAACTTTTTAACGGTTCTACAAAAAGGGAAAGTATTAATGATTCCAGCAGCAGCCAGCAGCAGCACAGAATCGTGCTCAAACACCGCGGCCAGCACTAGCGGGACTGGGACGGCGGTTTCCGTTTACTGTGGCGGCACATCGCTGCCTTCGTCAACGTTAAGGCGTGATGGGGAGGGCAGTTCAGCATGCAATGATACTAATAATAAGAAGCAGCAGCAGCTTGTTGTATTGAAAAACCACACGGGGCGTAACATTCATGAAAAGTACTGGATTGACCATAGCCGGGAGGTGGGGAGAGCAGCGTGGGGGGTGGTACGTGTGTGCATAGATTTGGACTCTGGCGAGGAACTGGCGTGCAAGTCCATCTCTAAAAACGAAATGCTGCAGAATGATGAAGACGTTGAAAACCTGAGGAGAGAGGTGGCAATCTTGTACCACTTGAAGAACTGCCCAAACGTTGTTACCATCAAAGGCGCTTATGAAGATGACGCCCAAGTCCACATTGTGATGGAACTATTGAAGGGAAAGGTGTTGGATGACGCAATGGCGGAGAGGGCTTCCTTCAGGCTCACCTACACTGAAGAGGAGGCTGTGAAACTTATCACGGCTATTGTACAAGTTATCCAGGTCTGAATTTAGTGATGGCAACGGGGCGGATCGGGGGCGGGTATACATAAAACCGAAACCGCCCCGTTGGGTAATATAGTTGCCCCAAAACTGCCCCATTACCCGTTCGGGTAATTTTATTTGAACCGTACCCGCCCCAAACGGGGAATCGGTTTATCCACGGGTAACCGTTTACCCAAATTATACCAAATAGCCAATTTTTTGAATCCTGGTTGTTCATGTAAACATACTAAGTACTAAGCACTCAACATCCAATATCTCTTGTAAGTTGTAACATAATAACAAAGTAGTAATCTAAATTCAAAAACAGTTTTAGGCCTAAAAAGTAGTAAACCTTCACAAAGAATAGTATTAGGCCTAAATTCAATACAACAACAAATCAATATTCAACACTTCAACATCCAGATTCTAAAAAGCGATTGTTAATCATCCCAAATCCCCTTATCCTTGGATCACCCTTTTGTTCATGTCAGGTAGTCACTCCGGATGGACCTACAATTAAAATGAACTTGTTAAATCCTACAATTATTTAATGACATCTGAGAACCTGGCAGCAAGTCTACAAATTCAATGGAAGGAGTTCTTACCCAGTAAATATTTTGGAAAAATTTGCAATAAATCACAATGTTATAGAAATATAGAATGAACTAACAGCTAGTCATCCACCCATCCTAAATAAAAACTTTCCTGGAGGTAGTTTGTTCATGATTTAAATAAATACCTGTTTCATCACCTTCATCAAAATTAATATCATCATCATATATTGATGCGTATCCATCTGAAACAAATGATTCTTCTTCTGGAGGCAGAAAGATAAATTTCAGAATGTTAATAATTGGAAAAAGTAAATAGAAGAGCTTAGTATGTATTTAATGTAATAAAGTTACCTTTTAAGGTTGTTCCATAACCAACTTTGTGCGCACATAAATGCTTCTATTGTGTTTGGATGGAGCCGATTACGATGAGGACTAACTAACCTTCCACTCCCGCTGAATGCTGACTCCGAGGCAACTGTAGACACTGGAATTGCCAATATATCTCTTGCAATGGCTTGCAACGTGGGGTATTTCACCCCATTAACTTTCCACCACAATAAAATATTAAATTCATCCGTCATTGGTAAAACATCATCATCTAAATAGTGATCTAGCTCAGTTCTAAAATTAGAACTAGAAGTCTTTTAACAAAACTTTGAAAGCCACTCATATGGTCAGAAATTGTGCTTCTTGAACTACTTTCATTCTCACCTAATATTATATCACTTTCACAATCTTTCTTTCTTTGGTATTCCTTCACCAAATCATAACAAAGTTGTTGGATGCTATCAATTTCCTTCTCATGAGAATCCGGGTATACCATTGGAAGATAGTATCTAAGCAAAGCCATATTATACCTCGGATCCAATACAACCGCAACACCCATCAATTTATGAACACTTTCCCAATAGTCATTGAACTTGATCAACATGTTTGATGCCATGATATTAATGACTACAGAAGGCAACTTCACCCATCCATTCAACTCTAATTTGATCTCACAAACTTTTGGAAAAAATAAATTGGCAGTAGGATAATTGGTCCCAGAAAATACTTTTGTGGCAGAATAAAACAACTCCAATCTACCACAAACCTCTTTTGCAATGTCTCACTCACTTTCAAGAGGCACAGTTTTATATTGCGACTCACGCAACTTAAGCCTAGGAAAAACATTCTTATAGTGTAAAGCCACCTTTAGCATTAAATAGGTAGAGTTCCACCTAGTTGGACAATCTAATCCTAACTTTTTAGAACAAGGCACTTTCATTCCACGACATACCTCTTCAAATTTCTCTACACGCTTTGGAGATGCTGTCCAATAAACCACACTATCCCTAACATTTTCAATGAAATCCTTGATCTCATCTAGACCAATCTTCACAACAAGATTCAAGATATGAGCTGAACAACGCATGTGAAACAAGGAACCATCCTTCACTAAATGTGTAGTGTTCAGTTTAGTTTTCAACTTACCAATCATGCTATCATTAATGGAGCAATTGTCTACTGTTATCGTAGATAACCTTGAGTCCAAATTCCACTCCATCATTGCCTCAATTAACACCTCTGTTAGCACTTCACTTGTGTGAGGACAAGGCACATAAATGAACCTAAGCACACATAAATGAATAAAAACAGCAAATTACTAACTTAAAATAGCATACTAAATAATAAATAAACAAAATTTATACATACAGTTTACTGTTTCGAATTTTAAACTTTTGCTATCATTTTGAACTTGTAACATGAACTTGTTTCTTAGCCTCATAGCCTATAAACAGTTATCATCTGGATTTTGCTTAAAAAACAGCAAATTACTAACTGAAAATAGCATACTAAATAATAAATAAACAAAATTTTATACATACAGTTTACTGTTTCGAATTTTAAACTTTTGCTATCATTTTGAACTTGTAACATGAACTTGTTTCTTAGCCTCATAGCCTATAAACAGTTATCATCTGGATTTTGCTTAAAAAACAGCAAATTACTAACTGAAAATAGCATAGTAAATAATAAATAAGGATAGCAATATATATACCTTAAGATTTGGCTTCGTAAAACCCAAGAGTTATCAATGAAGTGGGCGGTGATTGCCATAAACCCTCTCTTTTGATTGCTGGAGGTCCACACATCAGTAGTGATTGCCACCCTACAGTCACACTCTTCTAATAAATGGATAACTTTACATTTTTCTTCTGCATATACCTTCATGACATCACTCTTCAAGGTATTGCGTGAAGGACACTTGAAAAGAGGTTGAAGGGTGACAGTGAAATCTCTAAATCCTCTATGTTCAACAATGGAAAGAGGATACTCGTGTATAATCACCATTTTTGCTAATGCCAGTCTTGCTTCTCCATTGTTAAAACTCCCATGAGATAAATCACCTTTCGAATTGCCTTTTAGCACCATTTGCCTTATATCTCCACCGACCCTTCTACACGGGCATCTATGATAGTGCTCCTTCAAATGAGTAGTGCCGTTCCTTGATTCACCTCCCAACACTTTGTTGCAAGCTTTGCATTTAGCTTTTGTAGCCTTGTTCACCACAACTACATCATAGAAGTCCCACCACGGACTCCGTTTCTTTCCTTTATGCTCAATCACATCTTGTTGTTTCGTCTCTTCCATTTGTCTAGACTCATCAACGGTAGAATTCTCAACGGGCAGTGATTGACTTCCCGTTCCACCATTTATACCAATTGAATCTTGGGTGCTAGCACTTTGTGATGCCATAGTCTATCAATAATAATATTATTCAAAAATATTATGACTTCATACTAATAGAATAATCTATTGAATAATGCTAGCACTTTGCTCAAATATTCATATCATGCATATGCCAATATATTAATTAGTATAAATAGAAAATATTCTTTTGTTCTAATTAACAGCTTACCCTACGTTGGTAAGTATATGAAACATAGTCCATAGTCCCTATTATTCTATTAATCACAAGCATATTAAGTAATTATAGGTGTTCTAAAAAACATAGTCCATAGGTTTGCCAGAACTCAGAAGGATAGATAGGATTTTTCCCTCTATATTTATTCTATCCAAAGTGAAATATGGTTGATATTTTTGAAATTCTAACATATGTTTACATTTCTTAGCAATTCTTTTCTTTCCCTCCAAACTACTCCTATACTTTCCTTATGACCCCTAGAAATCAAGACAGCAAGAGTAGACAGAGTAAGGGAGGCTTGCCTGCTCTTCGAAAGGCTTTTGCATTGTGTAGATGTATCCGCAATCAAGGCATATATGTGTTGCTCGCGCCTAAGGAAAGCACCATAAACACACAAAAACACAAAGAAGAAAAAGGAATGGACTGTCGGATTCATTGAGCACAGAATTAAGGAAAGGAAAGATGCAAAACTGAAGTACCAAACTTACCTTTTGAGCTTCAGTCAACTTCCTTCCAAAGCGAGGAGGGGCCGGTCGCTTATTCAATCTCTTAACATCTACTTCAGCTCCCCTGCACCAAAGTTAGGTCCTAGATAAAATCAAAGTGAAGATAATCTCTTAGCTGACATTACATTTATGTGCACATCTCAGCCATCTCTAGTTATATGTGATAAAGAACTGAACATTGTGATAAATCTCGACTCAATGTTTAGGCAGCCTTTGCCTTTGCTTCACTGAGAGCTCTTGAATGGCGGCTGAGTGCTGACTCCTTCAGTCCTTTGCCGTAAATGTAATACACTTTAGGAGTTGGAGTTAGGTTTTTTGTGTTTTTGAAGTGGGTTGTGGACTTGTGGGCCTCTAAGTTCTATTACTTCGTATTAATTTTACTTCAGTACTATTCCTTTATATACTTATAATAATAATTATTATTCTTATAGATACAAATTTATAATTTATTAATGATATTACGGATCGGGTAACGGGGCGGGTATCCGCACCATAAGTGAACGGGGCGGTTACGGGGCGGATAACGGGGCGGGATAGTATAGAATCATAACCGCCCCATTATCCATTTAAAAAAATCGGGTATTCCCCACCCCGTACCGTTACCCAGTCAAACCGGTTTTCCCCATTTTGATCAAACCGGTTCGGTGCGGATATCCAACGGGGCGGTCGGAATTGCCATCTCTAGGTCTGATAAATAAATCAATATACTAAATAAAACGTTTTTGCAGGAAAGAATACATGACAAAATCCGTAAACAAATTATTTATCATGGATTTTGTATAAACGGGTCCATGACAAAATCCGTGACAAATGGACTGTTTTTTGTAGTGTATTGTGAAGGAGTAAATGCAAAGTTAAATGATTTTATGGTGAAATAATGTGTATACATTAGTGGTTTTAAAATTAGAGTGCAAAGTCAAACATTATCATTTTCTTAAAAAGTTGATTGGGTTAGTTATATTAAACTTATTTCAGATTTAAATTTCCACGTCAGATACATAGTTGGAAACCTCACGAGTGATGTATCAGGTGACCGGATGTTTACCCGTAAAACTGAAGTTTAATTTACTCATTAGAATGTGGCGAATTATGCCTTTTTTTAATATATGGATTAGATTGAGCACACACGGTATGCACTAAGGACCTATTTAATCCTTTAGCTTTCTTTGTATAGATGATCTTCGAATCAAAATTATTACTACACATGCACTTTTAATTGTATTTTATTTGAGTTTTCTTTTTTTAATTTAAAGAGTGAAATCGTACAAAGAAATGAGAGAGAGAAAAATTAGTTTAGAAGTTTACTACGAAATTCGTAGAAATATTCAGTTCAGACGTTTCTTTTATTATTATTGTAAGTTCGATTAATAATTAAGCTGGAATTTCAAGCATTCCCGGCCCGGCCGGCCTCCCTAATTACTTGCATGTAACTAGTTCGTAATTACTTCCTACTTTTAAAAAAAAAAAAAGTAGTTGCGTTGCTGAATCGCGTTTACATACATTGCAGATGCTGCACGAGAATGGAGTGATGCATCGTGACATGAAACCTCAAAATTTAATGTATGATAGTACCGATGAAACTTGTTGTACATTAAAGGCAATTGATTTTGGACAATCGGATTTCATTAAACCCGGTGAGCTAACATGACATAATGTAATCATTTTGCTTAAACTTTTAATTTATTTAATTTGGATAAGTAGATTGCAACTTTGCCTAGAACAACACACGTACTATACGTGTGATTATATGAACCACTTAATTAACCTTGCTTCGATCAAAGGATTATTTTAGTAATTAACAAAACAATCTGGTCGAGGTTTATTTAGACATAGAAAAAACCATATCAACTATATATATATGCAATCTTTTTAATACGGAGTATATAAGAATAATGATGACAGATTTAATGAAAATTTCGGCATAATGAAAAGTAATAATGTCATTTCTTGGCATTTCCAAAAAATGGCATCATTTTACAAAAAGGGGCAGAATTTTCACCCATCGAAGGTGGTGGTGCTGGGACGCGGTAAGAAAGGTATCCATATTTATTTGTATTTTTTATGGGGTTTTACTATTTTTTGTTAAAAAAAATTTAAAATTTTATTTTATAAGTGTTTTATTAATGCTTATTATGATTTTTAAAAATATATATATGTAGTTATTATTTCATCTTTAATCCTATATAAGAAGTAAAGATTTATTAAGTTGGAGGTAGAAAAGTACTCCCTCCGTTGCTATTATAAGTGTTTTATTAATGCTTATTATGATTTTACGGTATTTTTTTATGATTTTATTGTGAATTAAAACATTTCATTATGAATTAATATCCTTAAGGGTATTTAGGGTAGAAAATCAATGTTTAGTCTTATTTGAGGAATTGAAAAAGTAGTTGTCCTATTTATGCTTTTTGGGGGATATTTAATGAGCTTTTTTCAAACATATAACTAAAATAAAGCTTATTTACACAATATGACTTATAATTACTACAATATATTTTCATAGTTACTTAAGTTCAAGAATTGACTATAACTTATAATGATTTCATTACTACTTTAATTGCTGATCGCATTTTTATAAACATTTGTTTTAGTTAGTTATTTCATCTTTAATCCTACATAAGACAATAAGTAAACATTTATTAAGTTGGAGAAAAGTACATGATAAGAATCAACGGACATAAAACCCATGACCTAATGTGCGAATGGATCAAGCCACACGTTTTTTACAAGAATAACGATCCAATATACTTCCTCCGTCTCTTTTTAGTTGCAACGTTCACTTTTTCACGTTTGGCGACGCACAACTTTGACCGCCATTATATTTAATTCCGTATTAGTAAAAATAAAATAAAAAACAGATTATAAAACTTAGTAATGCATGAGACCAATTTAACAATGAGATACGTAGGATAGTATATGTTTGCATCATAGTGTGCATTATTATTCAAAAGAATGCCACAAATATATATTACTTCCCAACTTTCATTCGATAAAAATATGACAACTTTTAAAGAAATGTGACCATTTTGAAATAAAAATCTCGCACTCCATCGAATTCTTGTCTTCTGCGCTACCCTACCTTCTTCGAAAATTGGAGATTTGGAACCTGCAATTAAGATGCGATCAACCCCTGCGACCGGTCCCTGCAAAGAAGATGTGACTAGTCCCTGTGACGAAGATGTAGACCAACCTTCTTCCTTCTTCTGCATCGATTCTCCGGTCGATAGAGGTGGCTACGAAGAGCGATGGCAACGTGGGCTACACCCGCCACGGCAACTCCTTCCCCTTTCTTCTTCGCATTAAAACAGTAGTGACATTCGAAAGTGACACGAAAATGGGTAGTGACATTAAAAAATTGGAGTGACGTAAAAATTTGACAGTGACATAAAAATTCGAGACATAAAAATTTGACAGTGACATCACTATTTTCCAAATATATGGCATCCTTAGTCACCTTTTTTTGTTTTTAAATAATGATCACATTTATTAAACTTGACTTTAATTTAGTAATATTAAAGAAAAAAGCCTTATTAGTATTAATAAAAAAATAGAGAAAACTGTCAAATCAGTCCACGTACTATTACGAGAAAGTCAATTGAGTCCATGTACTATTTTTCAATCAATTAAGTCTATCAAGTGTCAAAAAATGACCAAAATTTTCTATTCTCCGGTAACCGATCGATTTCCCTATTAATAGGCCTATGTGGATGATCCACTTGGCTCTTTTCCAAGTAAGCGCTTATTTGGCCATTTCGTGGCATTAAATTATCTTTTTCCTTTTTTTTTATTCTTTCTTCTTCTTCTTACTCCAATTCCTGCAACTCTCCTTCCCTTTTTCTTGTTAAGTTGTTTCTCCTCTTTTCTTTCTTTATTCTCTTCTCTTCTTTCTTGCTTCTTCCCCCTCTAGCTTTCCATCTTTCTATCACCGTCCACTTTGTCGCTGCCGGCCATCTCGATCGAGCTCCGCCGCTGCCACCGTCCAGTTCTGCCGCCACCGCCGACGTCAGCTGGTTGCCATTGAAGAATAGCAGGGGTCGTCTTCGGGTTGCCATATTCTCCTTCTCTAGCCATTGAAAGAAGGGAGGATAGAAGGTTGGGTGAGGTAGAACCGTAGAAGAAGTAAATTGGAGAAGAAGAGAAAGAAGAAGAACTAATTATGTTTGCCTTGGACAAATATAACCTTATAGCTATTGAAATGTTTTAATTCATAATAAAATAATAAAAAAATAAAAATTCATAAAAATACTAAAAAATCAATAAAAATATTGCGATAATAATAATTTATTTATTTATTTATTTTACAAAAAAATTAAAATAAAAAACTCAAAAAACAAAATAAAATTCACTGCCACCTCTGCACCACCACTTCCAGTCACCAGAGGTAAAAATGCCAAGTTCATTAAGAATGTCATATTTATGACAGAAAACAATGAAAATGTTGGTATTCTCAAAGAGAAATATGTCACGTTTTTGGCATTTTTAAAATGAAATTACAGTTTTTAGGAAAAATGGAATTTTTTCACCGGCCGGAGATGGTGGTGCAGGGAGGTAGTACAGACGGTGGTAAAGGCATCCATTTTTTTTTTAATTTTTTTATGATGTTTTACTATTTTTTATTAATTTTTTTTAAAAAAAATAAAAAAAAAAAAAAATATTTTTTATTTTATAAATATTTTATAAAATTTTATTTATTTTTCTACGATTTTTTTATTTTTTTTTTAATTTATTTTGAATTAAACATTTAATTAACTCATATTTAAAGAAAGGGTAAAAATGGAATGAAAAAATAGGTATGTTTTCAATCAGACTAATATGGTCATATTTTGAAAAGAAAAATATAGCAAGTCTTATTTTGAGTTTTTGACATAGTTTTATTCATATTTGAAGTAATTTCTAAAAAAGAAAGAAAAGGGAAAGAAGATGGGGGGCTGAACTAATGGGCAAGAATGAAGGGAGGGGGAGATTGGGTAAGGCTGTGGGTTAGAAGCAGTAGGGAAGAAGAAGAGAAAGAATGAGAGTGGATGAGTTGAAGAGGGAAGAAGGGGGAAAAGAAAAAAAAGGGGGAGTTGCAGAGCGTAGACGAACCAAAGAAAAAAAAAGGAAAAAAAGAAAACAAAAACAGTACAAAATAGCGAAGTGGCATCCACGTCAGCAATATAAGGGCTACGGATCCTTTACCGGTTAAATGTTAAAATTGGTGAAAAATTGACAATTAATAGACTTAATTGATTAAAAAAATAGTAGCGTACATGAACTCAATTGACTTTTTCGAAAATGTACATGGATTGATTTGACAGTTTTTCCAAAAAACTACTTCCCCCACCAAATTGCTCCAGGTACGTACAAATAGATGACTTACCATCTTTATAATCGGTAGACCTGGATAAAATCGGGCCGGCCCGCCCGACCCGCCCAGCCTGCCCGCACAAATGGGCGGGCTTGGGCATATATATTTACCCATCGGCCCGGCCTGAGTCCGGCCCGCAATAAGATATGGGCGGGTTTGGGTTAGGGTGTAGGCCCGTTCGGACCTATACATTTAGTATATATATATATATATATATATATATATATATATATATATATATATATATATATACTAATTTGTTTATTTATTTGCATATACACTTGTATATTTATATTTAATAATTTTTCTTTATACATATTTATAGTTTATTATGTTTAAATTTAAATTTTTAGTTCTTAACAACTAGCTCAACCAATATAATATATATTTTTGTACTTAAAGATAATACTTTGTGCTTAAATTTTAAATTTTAGATATAGTTTCTCATTATTATTTTTGTGTAAGTATTTTTTTGTATGTGGTGAAAAACGTATAAACATTATAAGCGTATTAATTATTTTTTAAATGTTGTAATACTATTTTTAAAGTAATTAAAAATTCATATATTTTTGAAAAAATTAAAGTTTTCCCGGGTCGGGCAGCCCGGTGGACTACCCGGCCCGCTCTTATGGGCGGGTATGGACATAGGGTTAGGCTCGTTTTTGCGGGCCGGACCGAGCCCGCCCACACATGATGGACATAAAATTTATAAAAAGCCTGGCACGAGCCCGGCCCGAACCCGTTTTTGTACAGGTCTAATAATCGGTAATGATTTTTACTGGCCATATCCTCTCAACAAACTATTTTCCCGTTATAAATTCAGAGGATATGGATTCAACACATGAAGCAGTTGCACGTGCTGAAGTTTGTTTTGAGGGTCACCCTTGGCCAAATATTTCTGATAGTGCTAAGGACCTTATAAAGAAAATGCTTGAACCTGATCGACGTCAAGTTCTGATAGTGCTAAGCAGTTGCACGTCGTCAACGACTTACTGCCGATCAAGTTCTTGGTAAGTTTTTCGTGGTCCGTATTTTAATACATCCAAATTTTTAAGAGTAAGAAATTAAAGTCAAGTGCTAGCTAACTCGATCTTGATAGATCAATTGTTTACATTTTACTCTCATTAGTCATCACTGTTCATTTATTTGAAATTTACCAACAGCTTTAGCATGGTCTGGCCAGTTTAATTTGATCAATTATATCCTACACCCGGTTGTACTTTTACACCCGATTTTTTTGTAATTAGGAGAAAGTCTGAGGCTAATAAATAGGCTAATGCCCCCTTCTTCTTTTTTCTTCCGCTGCCTTCCACTTTTCTTTCTTTTCTTGCGCCGTCTTCCACTTTCCCTTCTTTTCTTCCACCGCCTTCCACATTTCCTTTCTTTCTTCCACCGTCATCAATTCTTATCGTTGTTTACTTTTTGTTTTTTTGTTTTTTTTTTATTTTCTTTACTTTTTTTTAGTGGTTCATATTGTTAGGTTTTTTGTCTTTTTGTTTTTATTTTCTTTACTTTTTTTAGTGGTTGATTTCACTTTCTTTGGGTTTGTCTTTTTCTTTTGCTTTCTTTACTAATTTTCTTTGTTTTTTTACTTCTTTTCCTTTCTTTATTTGTTTTACCTCTCTCTTTTTCATATATTATATCGAGCACATTAGAAATGAGTTTTACCTTAAACTGAAATGAGTAAAACGCTTAAAAAAATGAACATACACAAATGAACTTTTCAATTTTTGAATACTCATTTTGTAAATTATGTATGTGCATTTAGTATCTCTCTTATGCTCATTTTTAAAATGTTTTAGCAATTCACATTTCAAAAGTCTCATATTACATTACATTTATATAAGAGTTGATTATAAACACGAGACAACAAATCATGACACTCAATCACATATTCTAATACTCAATAACGGAGGCTTGATGCTCACTGAAAGTGAATTAGAAGTTGTGAAGCAGAAATCACGATGCTCAATATTAGACTCTTAATACTCAATAGAATAGGTCGCATGCTCATTAAAAGTTCATTAATACTCATTTTACATAAACTGTGATTTTCATATCGAGATATGAGTCTTGATGCTCAATGAAAATGTCGTGATGTTCAACTAACAAACTTTACGATTTTCTTATCAATGCGCATTTCGTAAGTTACATATGCTTATTTGGTATGATGTTATGCTCATTTTTAAAATGTTGTGTCAATGTATATTTCAAAAGTATCATATGACATTATACTATCATATTGAAATTAATAATAGTGTATTATAGATATAATTTAATAATTTCTTATAAAAGAAAAAATAAGAATAAGAAAAAAAATTTAGAAGATATGAAGCAGGGATCGTGAAACTCATTGTTAGCCTCTTACATACTCAAAAAGATAGGTCAGATGCTCATTACAATTACATTATTGCTCATTTAGCGGAAGCCGTGAATTTTCGCTTAAATTACAAATATGCCACCGAATTTTTTTGGCCTGTATTAATGATTGGGCCGTCTTTCTTACTTGGGACGGGTGTACGTACACCCGGATGCACTATATATGAACTGGATTTGCATTGGTTTAATATTGTTTAATCTGAATGTATTAGGAATTCTATTGTAATATATTTTCATTTTGTTTATATGGATATTTCAATACATATTTGTTTTAAATATTCCTCTTAGGTTATCATCATCATCATTATTATGAGTAATTATTACTACGTATAATTGTTAGGTAATATTTTATACCAATAAGAGAAAGTTAGCGGTGTGCGACAAAAGGAACAATGTGAGAGGAATAAGAAATGCACTTGTATTTTGTATGTAATACGTAGTAAATAAAATAGTGCTAGAGAGAGCTGCTAATAACCCTTGTGAACTCTAAAAAATCTCATGTTATTGAAATTGGATCTTCTTTACTCTAGTGAGCAATTTTTCAAATTCTATAATTGTTCAATTTTAACAATCTATCTTGTTTTTTAAATATATCTTTATAGAGCATCCATGGCTACAAATGTATGGAAAGCATTACCCAATAATGCATACAACTTGAAGATGATTCGGCCGGTTTACGTAATGCCGCTAGTAAAGGCATTGTTACGCTAAGTTAACAGAGACACACGCGTGTGAGACTTCAAAATAGGTTACCGTGTGTGTACACAGAACTATATATGATGTTTTCGGACAAAGTATATGTTAGTCTTTACATACTTATATCACAGCGTTATATAAAACTCTCTTCAAATGAGAATATGAATTTAGAAGGGAAATGAGAATGGATCTAATATGTTGGATTGTATTATTGAAATATGCAGCACAAAGGAATGACACCGTAAAATTACGTGAAATTGAATTGTACACTTGGTGAAACTGATATATTCATATATGAATATTCATACTTTTCTTGATGAAATGTTTCATTGTTTGCTAGCTGCAATATATATAACGTTAGCATATGTTTAATTTGTTATGAATAATAGTTTTGTTTAGACTAGAACTTACTAAGTTTTTTCTAATTACGCACTTTTAACAAATTTTAGATATCAATGCATATTTCAATAGACGAGGCTTGATACTCGATGAAAATGTCTTCATGCTCAACAAAATTGCAATTAATGCAAAATTCAAAAGTATAATTTTAAATTAGATTTTCGTATTGAAATTCATAAGCGTTGATTATAAATATAATTTAAGAAGCATTACAAGAGATTAAACATGAAAAAGAAAGTGAATTACCCTCCGTCCCATTGGACTTTGCTTACTTTCCTTTTTTGTTTGTCCCCAAAAACTTTGTCACTTTTCAATTAAATTATAACAATTGATTTGTGGTTCTGTTCATTTTTATTTCCTTTACACAAACCTTAACAACACAACTTTCACTTTTCTTATTTGTCACTTAATCCGATGTTGGGAAAGTCCATAAGGAACCAACCATTCCAGCTCACTGGGTGGAAGGTTACCGTGTCCTAGCGGAGGTCTCGGGTTCAAATCCCGCTAGGCACATTTAGGGAAGAGAAGGGAGGTCTTGCTCCCAATGATTCTTCCTACCTTCACGGAGTTGCTCAGCGACTGAGAAGGGAGAGGATGGTAATGAAGGTAGCGGATTCGTGTGGTGGGAGGAGCAGCCTGAAATTAAGGTAATGTAAGTCCTGCTGGATTCGTCCTTTGGAGCTAGTACTGACGAGGCTGACTGTGATCAGATCCGGACTTAACTGTCTAGGGGCTTTGGAGGGTAGTTCATAGACTCCAAGATTATGGGAGCCTAAGCCCCGACACCGGTATTATCAAAAAAAAAGGAAAGTCCATAAGGACGGAGGTAATAGAAGATAGGGAACAAATGTTGAATCGGTCAGGGAGCAGGTGGAGCAATATTCAGGGACAGAAATGGTGATCTGATAGAAGCCTTCGCCTTCCCAATTCAAGCATGTAACCCACTTCACACGGAGATCATTTCCATGATATGGTAACCTCAGTTTCAATCATATAGGAAAGGGGTTATAACAAGTTTCAAACACAAAATGACTCACTCATTTGCATCCGAATGATGAACCAAATTAAAAAAGTTTCGTCTTACCTATGCCCGACAATCTAGTCACCTCGGTCGATGGTGGTTTCCAAACAGATCTCTTTCATCCACTGTCCTCGTCGGGTTAACACAGTCGCACACTTCCTCACCCAAAGCGGACTCAACAATCGGACGATGCAACACTTTTGTTCGAATCTCCTTCCCTCCAAGCCCAAGCGAGCATTCTTCAATGATAAAAATGGGGCGAGCTTCTTTAAGGATGCCGACTAAACCAACGATATGTTGCGTTTCACACAGGCCGTTAGATCTTCTCTCTAAAGAATATTCTAGTCTCTCGGTCCTTAATCAAGTTTACACTTTGAATTCACACATAGAAATAAATTTCACTTTACTATATAGTACACTGATTGACATTGTTTGCGGTAGATTTGTTTGCCAAATAAGCCAAACAAAGAAGTGTAAAGTTTAATATGAAACGGCCCAAAAAGGAAAATGTAAAATTAATTAAGCATGAGAGAGAATAGTCTCTGAGGTTGGGGGACATCTTTTTTGGCCGATTATGTTCTGCGCCAGACTTTATTTAGGAAGCAAGGCCTAATCCTCCTCCCAAGCCTTTGTAACGTTTGGACTTTTAATAAATCAGGTAAATATTCCCCGACATTTACAACAACGTAATTGGTGGAATTCGGGAAAAAGAATAAAAAAAAATAAAAAAAATGATGAACCGTCTCAAACATACAAAGGATGAATTGTGTGTTTCCAGAAGTATGACAGTTTTTACAAATTTGTTACGTTCTAGCACGGACAATTATATGCACTATTTCCTAGTGCATAAGTTTGCTATTTTATTATGATTTAATTCTTGTTTTTACTTATTTAGTTTAGTTTAGTTTTTGATGAACTCTTTAGATTTATTTTGTAGATTGTAATTTGTATTTCAGACGATGAAGTCAGATGATCTCTGTTGCGATTTCAGAATGAGATCTTCCACAATTTTATTCATATCTCTTGATTGTATTATTCAAATTCAATTCGGCAAGTTGTGGTGGATAGAAGACTTCATTATCTACAACTTTCATAATGGAAGTTGTGTCAAATTCGGACTAGAGAAACGGTGAACAACAGGCCACGCACGATCGTGCCTAGGAATGGACGCTCGCTATGCCTGCAGTATAATGAAGATGTCATCCGCTGGAATCCGGGCACTGTCATGCCTGGCAGGGTAGGCACGATCGTTCCTACCCCTGTGTTACGTGAAAAATTATCCTAGTTCGGCCAGAATTCGGATTTCCCCCCTTTTCTATAAATAAAGCCTCCATACCCCTTTTTAAGGGTGACGAACATTACGGAGAGGCCTATGGACGAATTTACTTGCGTTTTTACGTTGTTTTCTTCAAAAACCCTCAGATTATTTGTAAGTTCATTCTTTTTAATTAATGACAATTATTTCTATTCTTCCCAATTCTATTGATTATTCAATTATGAGTCGGGAGTAGTTTTAATTACGGATTTGGGATTGATGAAGGGGTTATTCAATTGCTTGTAGAATAAATTAAGAGAGATCTAATTTATTCGGAGACACATTCACACACATTTAATCGTTCGCTAAGAGATTGATAGCGATTAAGGGGCCGTAAGCTCGTTCATCTTGGCAATTATTTAGGATCCTGTCGCATGAGAGATCAGGCTGGTCCTCTAAATTATTGTACTCTATGCCGCGTGATAAGTTCGTATTTCAACACGCTCTTAATGCGTGTTGGAGTCGGATTTTGATGATTTCTCTCCCTTTGAGGCATCATAAGTATCATATTTAGCTCAAGTCATGTTAGTTGGGTGTTGGAACGAGTTTTGGCATTTTAAGATATGAAATCAGGTCTTTTAGGGCCCGGTATCGGCGCATCAAGGATTGATCGGGATGAGTTAAGGAATGTTCGAAAATGAATTCAGAGTTTTGAAGGCCACCAGGAGATTCAGGATTAAGATTTGATGAAGAAAGAGCTGTTCGATTGATCGCGGGGCCAAACGAGGACTTGAACGGGAGAAAACGAAGAATTCGGAACAAAAAGGGCCACGCACGGCCGTGCGTGCAAGGACGCATGCGTGCGTCCAATGAAGAAAACGAAGACCACCTTACTGCCAGCCACGCACGCGTGCGTGGCTAGGGACGCACGCGTGCGTCCCCCTTTTTATGCGGCCGTCTGTCGGACGCACGGACGCCACGCACGCGTGCGTGGTGCCGTGCGTACCCAAAATCTGTCCTAATTAACCCCAAATTGCCTTGTTTCCTATATATACCACCCCCATAACCCTAATTATGGGGGATGGAAGTTTAGAGAGAGATTAAGGACGAGATTAGAGAGTTTTTTCAGTCAGGTTTATCAATTCCTTAACATTCTTTGTAATTTCCTACTTTTTTATTAATGACAATTAATTCTATCTATCTCAATTCTATTGATTCTTCAATTATGAATAGGGAGTAGTTTTAATTAGGGATTTGGGGTTGATGAAGGGGTTAATCATGATGTATGGTTAGGTTCTTGATGGTGTAAATTGCATGAATGTCGTTTAATTTGTGTTTGAATAATTTAATTGATATCTTTTGTAACCTAGAATGGCCACTAGAATTACGATTGCTTATAGAATAAATTAAGAGAGATCTAATTTGTTCTAGGACACATTCACACACACTTAATCGTTCGCTAAGAGATTAGTAGCGATTAAGGGGCCGTAAGCTCGTTCGTCTTGGCAATAATTTAGGATCCTGTCGCATGAGAGATCAGCTTGGTCCCCTAAATTATTGTACTCTACGCCGCGAGAGCGGTAAGAATTTAGTATTGATTAGCTAGGCTCAATTAAATTAAATTCATGTAATTAAGCCTGATCTGCCAGAAATCTGATTACCCCGGAATCAATCCCTTTTCCCTTCGTTGTTAATTAAGAAGAACCCAATTATTTACTTTTAATCGTTTATTTGCAATTTTAGTTTTCTCAAACAACAAATTCTCGCACGATCGCATTTGTTTTATTTATTTTTTTTATCACTGATTTTAGTTAATTCTTAATTCCCTTTTACCGTCCCTGTGGAGACGATACTCGTACTTTCACCGCTATATTACAATCTTTTTAAGTGCGAGAAAACTCACATCAGTTTTTGGCGCCATTGCCGGGGACGGTGTCGGATTTTTGGGTTAATTAATATCAGCGACTCGTTTTTTAGTTTTTCGTAGGAATTTTGTCAGCTAACCTTGCAGGTCTGCTCTGTTTATGCATACACGTTCTAAGAGGGGAGAACCGCTAATCCCTCTTAACCTTGAGATCGAAAAGCTCGCCAGACAGAACCGCAAGGCTCAAAAGGAAAAGAACACCATGGATCACCAGTCTTCATCTGGAACCGCATGGATGTCGGGTAACCCTAACCCCACATCTCAACAAGATTTTTATGTCAACACATCACCCCAATCTTCACCACCAATTTCACCTAGAAACCCTCCTGGTTTTCAAAATTACCGCACTCCGATCTTTTCCCAAAATCAGCCCTCACCACAATTTAATCTTCCTCCATTATTCCAACTTTTTCAAAATACCCCTACTGATCCTGAAACCAATTTTCAAAACCAAGTTTATGGGATGCAAGGATCAGGACAGGGTATTCCAGTTTTCCAACCAAGACAGAACCCACCTCCAGTCATTCAACCTACTGTCCAAAATCAGCCCCAATACCAGAATCCATATCCCAATCAGTACCATAGACAACCCCAAGTACCACCCGCTCAACCACAACCAGCCCCCCAGCCTAGACATCAGGAGCCTCCACCCAATCCATATGTACCGCACAACAATCCACTCTATCAGCGCCAGACCATTGCAGAGTTCCTTACACCAAACGT